TCAACTATTTACTTTATGCAGAACCAGTACTGAAAGTATTGTCGAAGGGTTCATTTGCACTTTAATTGTTTTATGGTCTCGATATGATTTGCAGGTGTTGAAATTTAGCACTACGGATTTAAAGCCATGTAAATAAAAGCGGCATTTGCGGCGGGACCGTACCTGTAGATAAGTAGGCCAATGACCACGGCAATAATGACTAAAATMACCGTAGAAATAGTTCCACCAATAATAGCAGACTTGTTATAGGAACTAGACTGTCCTTTCTTTGGTAACCCTGGTGGTACTGTAGTATTAGAAAGGTCTTTTCCCGAGTACATGGACACAGAGAGTATTGTCTTGTTGATGGCTTTGCCGATACGAGCGAGTGATCCATTGATGATATCAACAAGAATATCTCCATTGACTGAGTTAACTTCAACGGCGACATCTGGTGGGAACGTAACGTAGAAAGCTACGGCAGCAATGACGTGATCAAGGATGGACGAGGAAGACAACTGCATTGGGTAATCTGGCAGAAGATGAACTTCTTGTGTTGTGAAGATGAGGCGGATGCCATTGGAGCGCCTTGAATAGTTTTCAGTGAAAGAGAAAACTCTCGTATAAAGTACCAAACTTTCATTGATATCATCATGCAAAATTGCCATTACCACTAGTATGGTCATCATACTTATAACCGGCACCACCGTTACCACCGTCCTCATCATTCTTATAATAGAGCCACCCCCAACACCACCACCACCGCTATAAACACCACATGAACGCAATTACCACCACTATCATCACCATCCATCATTCTTTTATGATATAACCAGCACCATTATCATCAAACTTAACGCTACCACCATTGTCATCCTCGCCAGCGTACCCACTAGCATTATCACCATCTTTGTAACTGAATCAAGATCACATCATTATGGAAATTGAAAATTACCTTCGCCTGCTAAGAACCAAGGATGAACATCTCTGACCATCCTTGGATGAACAGTRTTCTGTCACCACACCTGCGATAGCATTCCTGAACCTGAAGTCAATGAACTGGTCCCACTGCAATGAATCAGTAGGGAAATACTCTTTAAGATGGACCAAATCCACTTGGGCGTAATGTTTTGCTCATTTCAGACCACGTGTCATTCCCTTGAGAATAAGATTCTTTGTTTGAGTTGTATACATATTCAAGTGTCTTCTCACGCGCGACCGACAAACAAAAAAAAAAATGATGCTGTAGGGAATAACACGTGGTCTGAAATGGGAAAACAGTTGATTAGATCTATCTCCTGAGAATAAGATTCTTTGTTTGAGTTGTATCTATATTCATGTAACTGTCTTCTCATGCGCAACCGTTAAATAAAGAAATTGTACTCTAGGGATGTTAATGATAATGTTTTCTCATTTCAGACCACGTGTCATTCTCTTGAGAATACGATTCTTTGTTTGACTTGTATCCATTTTCATGTCTTCTCGTGACCAATCGCTGAACAAAGAAGTGATACTCTAGGGGATGACTCGTGGGCTGAAATGGGGAAACATTACCCTCAAGCCTAAAGAGTCTATTTTAGAAAATAAAAAATAAAAAATGAATAAATAAATAAATGAATAACTAAAATAAATGGGATTTAACAGTGGCATTTCTACAGAGTAGCTATTCATCCACTGTAATTCCAATTGGAATTTAGGAGTTGATTTTTGCGGAGGGAGGAAAGCCGGAGAGAACCCGGAAAACCCTCGAAACACAGGAGAGAACCAACAAACAACTCTACTCACATACGACACCGCGCTCAGCGGGACTCGAACCCGATTCGCATTGGTGAAAGGAGAGCGCTCTCACCGCTACTCCACCCGTGCTTCCCAAATTGGTTATGCATAAATTTGATGAACGAATCATGACTGATAGTTATCACTGATACATGCCTCTGAGATATTAAGTCCTCCAATAGAAACATTGACAGAATTTCTAAGGTCACGTGGCAATGGAGCTGAAGGTGTAGATCCTTTACAAAACAAAAGAAACAGATTCAATGCTTGTCGATATGTAGCTAGCGCTTACATTATTTTTGCGATACATTATTTTTGTTTTTCTCGCAATTTTATTTAAAAAATCCCATTAATTTTCGGAAATATCAGAAAGGTACTACAGAAATATCGTATTGTGCACTACAGCTTCGACTTTCCAAATTTCAAGCTAATTGAAATCTCTTCTATACTTACCATTCCTGGAAGTTCTAACGACAACTGTTTGACTTGCCCGAAGAGTTTCATTCCTATAAGACACTTTTGGGATACTTGTGATTATTGYCAGTACTTGTATGATATAATCAGTGTTGGTCGTCAAGTTTCGTATCTCGATTCTTGTCTTGTTGTCATTTGTAGTCCATGATGTTATGTTACTGGGATCATCTTGTGCGGAACAGAGAACAATGTACTTTGTACCATTCGACGCACTTTCGTCATGTGGTTGATATTTATTCCAATTCACTGTAATGGCGTCGGAGTTCGAACTCGTAGCTATGATATTCCAGGTATCATCAATCAAAGCTGCAAAGATTTCATTAA